CATTAAACAAAATTATCTTTATGCGCTGGGCTATAAGAAAACATTAATATAAGCCCATATAGGAACGGAAAATGGCATTTTTTGTTCATGAATACTGGGTGGATTTAGATATGCAGTGTGGCCATGTTTTTTAAAAAAACAAGGTGATTAAGTTATTAACAAAATTCCTTTTTCAAATGAGGGGCCTTAAAACCAATGGAAAATTTGCGAGGCATCTATACGTTGTATTTGTTACTGCTTTCCGAGATTTTGTTCTTATATGACACTTTCTTTATCAGCTAGTGGTTATACTGTGCCGTGAATAATTGAACTGCCATAAAGTTATCGGCGAGGTTTGGTACTGCAGCCTCACCTGAGTGATACCACATGTTGAGTTTTATAAAAAAATTATAAAATGCGAGTACGCCTACTTTACAAGTATCACGTGCTTGCATCTCCCTTACAATTCTAATCCAGCTACTGACTGTGCTTCGGGAGCCGGGGGGTTAATACGCCAACCTGGGTTACATCCGGCACCAGATCACGTTCGCCTCCCTGCGCGTGCTTCGAGTTCTGTTTGAACTCTCTTTCCCTTCCTGAGCCATCGAGTGGCTAAGCTAGGTGTGTTAACTAATAGTGGTTTAATAATCTGACCAGATGGTCACACTCAGGTGGGGCTGCGGAACCAAATTTCGCCAAGTAATCTTTCTGATCTGAAGGTTTTTCGTGAAATAAATTATTCCTTAGATAATAAATCATACTGTACAATACAAACTCTGCTTTCTTTTCGGGCTCAGTCATTTATTTACTTGAGTATAACTTTCGCGAATGCCCGCTGGGTGGTCCGTGGGCAAAAAGGATTTCAGTTCGCAGTTTGTGACCCTTCGTCGGATACTTCACGAGCTGTATGGCCCACCTTTGGCTCGCAATTTCTCCTTTTACCTGTTCGCTTCACTTGTCGCACCCATCGCTGACTGCAGATCCGACTGCCAGAGGGGTTGTATGCCAAAAGGCGGTCTTCAAACCCACAAACTCTCCGCAGATTACGGTTTTTCTGCTATTCGGCCATAACGAAAGAACGGTTTATGTGCAATCTCATGAAATGCCAACAAAATTCGGGAAATGTGTCGTAGGTTAAGAAGGACTATTTAAGTAGGTTCTTTGGACAAGATATTGCAGGCATTTCAGGATGCGGGCTTTTGAATGAGCTTCCTTCCGACTGCTTGCAAAACCTACTCACTGTGAATGTGGCCACCTAAGCAACACAAATTTCTTCAATCGATTTTCTATGCGCTTATATATTTTCATATATTTTATGGAAAACACAGGAAAAAAGTAAATTTTCGTGTTTGTTTTGTAGAAAATTACGTCTTTTTTAAATTTCTTATTCGAGGAAATCGCACCAATCGGTTTTTAAGAAGTCTACGGTCATGCGATTTTCTCAAACCCTAAAATGTTCATCCATGAGTCCCCGTATCAGTCGGCTTATTAATGATGCTTGTGAAGTATAGAATATGGTTCACACGCACTCCACCTCTTTATGAGTCGCATATGACATCTCAATAGAATTTATGAGTTTTCTTACAGCGTAAGTATAGTACTTGCTGTTAGGCAACCTCGAATGCAAGTGCAGCGGCAGATCAGATTTGAAATTATTCAAGAACGGGAAAGACCGTTTAAGACCGAGGGATACATTTTCTCAAATTATCAGGTTTAAGGAACACGTAACTTGCTACCAACTGAACATGAGAGAAAGAGAGAGTAGTTTTGTGTTTGCTTTTCATAAAACATGTTCGAATTTATAGATGCATCGTCAGTCAGTCGGAAAATGTCATTAATTAAACAGTCATATTTTATTAGATACCGTTTTTGCGAACGATCGAAAAGCAGCTTGTGCCAAAGTCGGCATCCTAACATGACTGAAATAAATTGTGACTGCACTGCACGATAATTAGTAATGCAGTCCTGCTCAAATAATCTTTTCTTGTCGAAAACACATTTCATGATTTTGGCTAACACTTCGGCAGACTGTCGGCTGCTCAGTTCCCGTCAGTTTCTTTATTCCGACATTCAAGCGTGCCAAAGGAGCCGGATCATCTACAGAAATGTTAACTCAATTCCCGAAATGGGTTCGCAATTAGGAAGGATTGCTTAGATGAGGTTGTAATAATGATTATCATGCAATACAATCCCAGCATGCCTTAGTCACGTCAGAATGTTGGATTTTAAATGGTCTTCTTTCCAATTGCCCACAGAATCTTCAAAAAAGTTGATTACTTACTTAGTATGCCTTTTAATTTTTTTGTTGTTCTTCTGAAGTCGAGCATATGCTACAGTGAACATGCAGTATGAATATACTTTTTGCATGCATTCGGTAGACATTCACGTCTTCTTCAAATTGTCCACTTAAGGAAACGGCATTCTTTGATTTAAAAAAACGTTTGCGACCAGGAGGTTTCTTAATATTTTTAAATGTTCATCCATACAGCATCACATCTGCTGATTTAGCAATGCTACTTATGAAGCATAAAATGTGGTTGCCGACAGATGTTTTGGGAAGACACTGATTGTCCAACAGTTGCAGCTATGTGCAAGCATTTGCCTCAGAGTGGCTTGTTCGTAGGTTTTCCAAGTGACTAACAAAATATGTTGGAAACAATGCCCGCGAAGGCAAAGCTCCATGATGAACCTAGGGGTGCACATACTGCTCAGCATATTTTTGGAATCTAACTAACAATGGGATTTAACTTCTAGAAGCAGTCTTTATACACGCCTAACATTCAAATTGCCCCATATCTGTTTTCGGTAATTCAGCATTATTGGCTACTGCGTGTATTTGGTTTTTTTTCTAGCTTGGTGTAGAGAATTTGAGATAAATAATGTAAAATATGAAAAACTTGGTCAAAAATTTATTTTGCAAGTAACTATACCTCGCTTGACAGTGTCTAAAGCACACTTCCAATGTATTAACCAGTGAATTTGGCGGTTTGCTGCTACAGGACTGCCATTCAAGCATCTTCCAATGGCAACGCATATACGACAGAATAAAAACAGCTTGTGTACGCAACCGCCTTGATGGAACAAATTCTCACTACCTGCGGTTTGAAAGACCCAAGCGGTTGGTTGTCAAGATGTTTTCCTGAGAAAACACTAATTTTCCAGTAAATGCAATGACTAATTAGAATAAGCCTAAGAGCGGCGCGTTCATGGATTCTCAAAATGAGAAGCGAGATACATTGAAACCAATGAACTGCTTGCTGGTTTAACCTTGCGGACCTGGTGGCGTGATTTTTGACTGCGTATTTAGTTGTCGTGGTTGTGCTAGTTGGCAGGGCCACCCTAGAACTGACAGCAGCGCTACTGGCGCTCTTACTATTGGTTAGAGGGTGCTTGCATAAGACCTCCGAGGCCAGTGGACTCACAACAGTCCGCATTTCGCCGACAAGCCCCTCCCCTTCTCGAACGCCAGCACATGGTGGCAGTTCTAGATGGCGCAGTTGTGCACTGCTTTGTTGCACTTTACCTTCCTGCCTCATATGGGCTGTTTGCAGTTAGGAGTGTACCATAGCAGGGGTTATACCTAACGGCAAGCGCCCCCCCTATAAACACCAAAACAAATAATCACAACCTTAGGAGCAAAGTAATTTGTACAGTATTATTGCTCAGCCGGTAATTGTGAAAAAGGGACGGATCGTCCGCTCAATCACAATCAACAAGTTCTTCCATGAAGTTCTAATGCGAAGCCTTCGCAGGCAGTCATCAAAGTGGAAGGACTATCGGTAGGAACGAGGGAGAGCGGGGTGGTGATTCCTGGTTAACCTGGCCGTCTGGCGATGGCCAGACAAGTCAGAAACGAAATAAATAAGTATGTAATTCTGCCCCTCCACCGTGAATTCATATATTCCCGATCGAATCTGACGCGACACATGTATCTGGCCCCCGTCGGAGATTGCCCGACCTAAACGTCGGTCGGTCAATTGCGCCTGGTTTGTGTTCCGTGATTTTACCCATGTAAACACTAAGCGAGTCAGGGTCAGTAAATGCGCGTCTTGAGACACTCATCATCCACCGTGCACAGTAGTATACCTCTTGAGAGAACCGGGACTGACGAAAAATAGCCGGCGAAGGGGAAAGGGGGAATCGTGAGGAGGTCAGAGGAACGGGCAAGGACGTTATTTGGTATGTGTTCCTGGTTTCTTGCTGCAACGCAACGCGGCGGATTCCGGGCAGGAGGGCGTGGGGTTCGCTTCCGGTCGAAGCGTCTTAAGGGCTCGAACGAACGTCTTCAGTGATCAGTAGACCGGATTGACTAGTCGCGCGCTCACCGCCTCCGTCCTCGCAAGTTTCCACCCACGTGGGAATTTGGAGGTGTCCTGTCGGCTCCTTGCCGATGACTGGGGAGACTTGATTGTGGTCTACACGGCAGCTGCTACCATCCAGGTGAACCACAATTGCGCTGGGGATAGATTTTGTCGTTCTACAGTTGCATAAGACAGAATAATACTCCTGCATCCGCTTGCATAGGCGCTTAATTAGTTAACCAATATAGTCTGCTGCAGGAAAAGAGCGAATACGCTTGAGCAAACTAACATTCACTTGGCTGCCATGTGCCAGCGAGCAGTGGCAGAGATCAAACGATGCTGTCGACGGCTGTTTTTCCCCTATTGTTACCCTACAGGGTTGGTAATGAATAGTCTAGAGGGCACGTTTACCGTCTCGGATCCACGCCTCAACGGTATGTCTGCCTGACGATGGCCAGTTCACCAGATATTGACACCAAGACTTCCCCATGTTTCTTTCGTAGCATCGAACATCGGTCTTTTAAGTTATACGTCATACGTGAAAGGTCGTCTAAGAAGCTCGACTAAGGCTGTAGAAGATTCCGGACATGCTGTAAACTCTAAGCGACCAGCCTCCCCTTGTTTTTCTGGTCAACGTAGGTCTCCCCTTGAAAAGATAATTTTGTAAAAAAAGTGAACAACGAATAAATCTGTATTTTACACGATATATACAAGGCGAAGTTATGTACAATGGTGAATGTCGGGTGGTTTGATGCCAATAGTCATTGGTCCTTGGGTGACGGTTCCTGAATTCGATAAAAAATGCAGGTAGACAGGGTTCAGCTCAGTGGTTTATTTTCTCAAAAATTGCAGGAAACTAAGGTTGGAAGCTACTTTTGTCACACCGCTAGACGAGCTTGCTTCTGCAACAAAATTCAGGTCACTAAGGGATGAGTAGGTGGTGTATGTAAGGCCTTAAGATTTACTTGCAGGAAACTAAAGCTGGAAGCAAGGTCGGTTTGCTGTTGCAATGAATTCGGGTCACTGGGTGGGGGGAATGTACTCACCGGCGTGCTAGATTAGTGTCTGATGTGCTTGTAGATCCAGCCCTCCAGGGCAAGCGTTTGCTCTTTTACACGCTTCGCCTTGTGCCGCATGAGGACGAGAACCGGCATTATTGTGAGACCACTGACCACGGCTGTTGATCCTGCGGCATAAGACATCCTACAAATGATGGTAAAAAAGGAGAATGATACGAAAATATCGAGCAAAAAACATACGAGTAATAGTCAATAGGTTCTGAGTCTGAGCGTGAACTGCTAATATATGTGTCATCGATCGATGGTGCCGAAGCATATTTATAAACTTGAGGATCCACGGCCAAACACGGTAAGGTGTGGTTATGTAACCGCACCTGATGGACACAGTGCTGTCAACCTACTTAATTATTTTGATTGGGTGTGATTACGTTGGCATGGTGTTACTGTGCGCTGCGGTGTGTGTTCTGTTGGCGGCCTTGTTTCTTTGTTGCCGTGTCTGCCTTTTTTGGCCCAGTGCCGGTGGTCCTTCTTGACTTTCGACCTGTCGTCTCCTTCTATCGTTTCCGTTGGACATTTCAGGGTTAGGGTTCACGGCTGCTGTTAAGGATTAGGGTTAGGGGGCTGGACAACTACCCTCAACCACTCAAAGTACAACCGCGCATTCCCAATAATTATTCTTTTGCATACACTTTCTTGACCTCGTCACCGGCGCGTTCGCCGGCCCCACCTGTAAAAACATCTATCACCACCGATCCCGTATAACAGACGGTTGGGGTCTGTTTGCCTCATGTGCGGCTACATAACCACATCTGACGCAAAGAACAAATCGGAGTATAGCGCTCCTGTGAAGTTTTCCGTCATAACGGTTACCACCTCCACCTCCCCCCCCCCACTCCCACTATCCTGGGTTTGCATGAGCGGCGTGTTTCAGGAGCAGTTATTGTCACAGTTCATCGCTAGGCTCTTTCGGCATCGAAAATGCCAACAATCTAGAGCATTCCGATCGGATTCGACGCGCACGAGGACCAGTGTAAAGAAGTGAGATTTCACCCCTCTTAACTCCACAGCGGCGATCATGTAGCCAAACAACTATCCAAACGAACACAAGCTGACCATATTGATCCGTCTTTCACCTTCGGCACCGGTACTCTCAGATACGCAGGTTTCGATGCTTTAAAAGAACATAATATTCGGGGTGCACTGTGTCAAATTACATAGGTAATTCGTGAAAACGGCGTAAGACTGGGATCGGCAGTGCTCCTGCTCCATTCTCTTTCGTGCCAATGGCAGACTAATAAAACGAAAAACCAAATTCGGCCCTTCGTGACACTTGCACCTTCGCCATCCTCGTGAACTGGTTGCTAGAGACGACAGACTTGCACAGCATCTACCACACTCCCCCTCCCCACCTGGGCTTGGTGTCAAGGCAAAATAAAGAGGACTGAGATTGGAAGAGGGCACGGGTGGCTGGCAGAGCGTAAAGATGGCTACTGAAAGCCGCTCAACGAGGAAATCGCGCGCCTTACTTAAGCAGCAGAACCAAATAGTATGGATACTTCGAAACTTGTACGGCTTTCGCCGCGGCAATGCCTCATTCCTGCGGCTGCCGCATCTCTTTCTCGAGAACGGTTAAACAAAGTTGGTTGCGTCTAAGGCAGCCGCCATTTAATGAGCATTGTTTAAAACGACGATCAATCATTTGTAACCTTAAAACTTTAACACAGAAGGAACAAGGACCGAAACCGGCGCGGGTTAAATCGGGGGCAATGAGAAGGGAAGATGCTAAGGAGGAAGTCAGGGGAAACAAATAAATTTTGAAAAAAGTGCGCAACAACACCTACTCGGCTGATGTCCCCATCGCGGCGGCAGTTGTGAGCAGGACGATGCCCGCGACAACGACGCAGGGCGCAAAGGCCATCATTATCGTGATGGTTGTCATTACTGTTCCAATGGAATTGAGCATTTTCTCTGCCGAAACAACTACCGGCTTCGAGGTACACATCTACAGATGGAGAGAAAGAGCCTATATATCTTTTTTAAAAAAATAACCGGATATGCCGATAAAACAAAATGGATTATGCCGTATTGAATACTAGTTTCTTTTGGCGTGGCCAACTTGATTATGCTTTGCTTAACTACAAACACAGAGTGATCCTTACTACGTCATGGGAGGATTCATGTCTTCTCTATCGAACATGCCCGTATTTTTTAATTGATTACTTCAATAGCCATATAAATGTACAGACCCGAAGATAGGTTATTGAAAGCAGACGTTTGCTCGCCAAATTACCTTTTGGATTCTAAGTAATAAAATAGCGCATAGACGTGAGCCAATCAAACCTGACAATAAGCTGTTCCCCCGAATTTTATTCTTTTACTCACGGAGCATATTTGTCAAATTTCTCTAATGATTGTCGTAAAATCAATACAGGAGCCACTATCCGCCAAATAGCGAGACGATGATAATATATCTAATAAATAGCAGCGGCTACTAACGGCGGTTATTCAGTACGACTAATGGTTAGTCAATACCGGAAGTGCAGTGTCAGATTCAGTGAATTCTCTTGCTCTTAATCGCATCTTATATTCAATTCTAATTTTGGTGCATTTACGATATTTGTCATTTATGCGAGTTTCCTTGTCGTCATTTCGACCAATCAAACTTTGGAGGAAAAATAACCACGTTGTATATAGTAGGTGTGCTAACTCAGGAAGTGTTGGCTGAAATTCTGAAATGCGTTTTCGACTCAAGTAGGGTTATAACATTAATCCTCGTGCAGCATTATCCCACAATAATTCAGTTACTTCAAGATGCGGGCTTTTGAACGAACTCCTTTCCGCCGTCCATTAAGGCCACACTCTGCAGAAATGACTACTTAAGTAACATGAATTTTTCACATTGATTTTAGTTGCTCTTATAAATTTAAATATATCTCGTGGGAAAAATGCATGAAATATTAATTTCTTTAATCAATTGGAAGAAGATTACGTTCGCTTCGAATGCTGCGCTTGAAGAAATGACACAATTTGATCTTAAAAGTTTCTCCAAATTCCTTAGGATTCGGCCGTCCGAAAGAATTAATACCTCCTGATACCCACCAAAGTGTTTATTAGCATTAAGTTGCTATTGTTCCCTAATAATAGTAATAAAAATAATTTCACACAGGTACCGCTTCGCGATAATTACTGTTGGATACATGAAGTTTACTTGGTTCTCGTTGTATCTACTTTATTCTCATCTTTACAAGGACAAAAGACTTCGTGATTAGCTATATATAAGTCTGCGACAATGTTGGGGAAAGGGTTTATGAAGTATTTTAGACTTTCCATGAAATCTAGTCTTTATGTATTGCTGTAATAAATCTGAACTAGCGGTCGCCGCTGCCAAATTCATAGCCCCACCGTCAAGCGTCCCATAAAACGAAAACCTAAATAATCCTCTCTGACTTGTAGATCATAAATAACATGGTTAAAGATTTAGCAGTTTCTGCAAAAACCAATTCTTTCTCAGCTACCACCATCAGCCATTGGCCGTAATGACAAAAGACTCTTTGACCTGTAAACAGTTGAGTCACACCCTACTATTCACAATCATTTAATGTCAGTTGGAGTCGAAATATTCCAAGCCACAGGCCATTGGAAGACCATAATGGACATTCTAGCCTCCCTTCTTCTGCTGATAACGACCCTCCCCCAGTATCGATTCCTGGTCGCTGTGCGACCACCTGTGGGGTTCCTAGACAAGAGTCTAAACGGAATCTTCTGTGTTTTGACCACTGCGTCAGGACCAGTTGATGAACACCAACCCAGGGTGCTCTGTTTCAGGCGACTGTAGATATCTGATTTGGTGCTTTAAGTGGAGACGAAAGCACGAGCAGCTTTTTCTGTCTTGATGTAGGAAAATTTGATCCCGACTATGCAGAGTGCAGTTACTTGCTAGTAGAATGGAATTGAAACCGCCTTTGTTTCAACAAATTTTCACTAATATTCACAGTCATTAAGATCAACTATCGTTTACATTTGGAAACGACGGTTATATAAACCAGCCCGAGTAATAAAAATTGACAACCATAGGCAGATATCTAACTTAAAATCCCAAGAAAAACGGTAACTTTTTGATATAAACGTACATGTTGTGTCTTAACCTTTTAACTGATCAGTCTACCATTTCGATGTTTTGACTAAGTAAAAAAGAGGCAACATTAAAGCACAAAAAAACGTTCTATCAACACAGTGTCTTACCATCAGGGTCGCGAAGAGCGTAAATTCAAACAGGTGTAAGCCAGGTCGCGTATCGCATCTTATCGTTCTCAACCTGCCTTCTGATTGGTGGTTGAACATCAGGCGTGCGTGCATGCGCACCCAGATGCAGTCACACACACGCACGCACATACTCGCACAAACACAAATAACTCTGGTTCTGAAATGGAAATATCTTTAGATCAGGTTTGTTTCATGCCTGATTGGCACACGCACCTCCAGGCAAACTGGGTGGAGCTGACGGGGTGCTCATTCCAAGAGGCCTCCCAAGAAAGCTGGATACCGTTGTTGAGCTCCGCTTTTCCAGCGATTGCAGACTCGTTTTAGGTCAATCTTTCGTCCACACACTTATTGCGTAATAGTATGATGTTCGCTTATGTTTCAGACGTTGGCGGTCCTCACAGGTTTGTCTGCAAGTCCGGAGGACATCATCCGGTGTCTGGAGGCTTTCACATATAAGCTGAGGAATAGTGGAGGAACTTACATGCACTGTTTAGGGGACTTTATATCCAGAAATGAAGAGAACGGATATATGTACAGTGAGTGACCGATCTCACGGAAACTTGGCTGAAATTCAGAAATGCGTTTTCGAATAGAAAGGATTACTTTGGTGCGGTTGTAATACTGATTATCTTGCGGTACGATCCTATAATATTTCGGACTTGGCAGGAGGTCAGCTTGTGAATACATTGCTTTTCAATCTCCTGTGGAAATTGTACTCAGTAAAAATTGTTACTTAATTAGAGTGCATTTTTCTCATTGGATTTTGATGGTCTTGCAAATTCAAATACATCTTATAGAAGCCATAAACAAACATAGGCTTTTTCAGTTTTTTGACAGAGAATTACGTCATCTTTGTATTTTATACTTGAAGAAGGAGTATAATTAAAGTTTGAAAAAGTTTCTGATAATGAGATTATCTACGACCGTGCAATGTCCATTCATATAAGATCTTACCTGTCCTTTTTACCACTGCTCACCGTGAAATGTACTAAATAGTCCGCATCCATTGCAAAATTTCGTGAACTCTATAGGGTATCTTTTTAACGACACAGATGAACATGTGACTTTCTTTACTCGGAACGCATTCAGCTTGTAGACTGAAATCACTAAGCGCTAATGCAACGACTCCAAATTATTCAAGAATTAGAACATTTTTTAAAACCAAATTGTACTCCTTCTTCGGGTATAAAATATGAAGATGACGTGATTCACTATCAGACGACTGAAAAAAGTTTGTTTGTAGTTTCCATCAAATATATTTGAATTTATAAGACCATCAAAAATCAGTGTAAAAAATGCATGCAACATAAGCAGTCATTTTTTACTGAGTACGGTTTCCACAGGAGATTGAAAAGCGGTGTATTCAAAAGCTGACATCCTGCCAAGTCCGAAATATTATAGGATTATATCGTAGGATAATCAGTATTACAACCACACCTAAGTAGTCCTTTCTAATGGAAACACATTTCAGAATTTCAGCCAACATTTCATGGAATCGGTCATTCACTGTACCTCCAAAACTGAACTATCTGCCCACACAGTGTTCACTCAGTCCATTTTTCCTGTTTATAATGTTTAAGAACTTCACGTTTCCTTTTTCAAAGGGTCCCACCTGTCAAATTCCCTTAACCACCACGGTGGAGAATGAACGTGTACACAGCCGAATCGTCTTCCTGTCATGTGCCTACTTCTCTCTGTCTTCCTCTCTCTCTCTCTCTTTAGTGTATTAAGACGAAAATGCGGCGTAAATGTCATTTTTTCTTTTTCACTTTTCCTTTTCTAAAAATGCGAAACTCAAGGATGTAAGATCAACTCTAACCACTCACAATAAGTTCATTCCGTCTAATGTCAGAAGTCAAGGAGCTGCGAGAAACGGTTTATTCTGTGTATACAGAGCAGGTTGTCGTGAGTTGACTGTCGGCTTGTGTGTCGTAGCAAAGCGTCCGTTCAGGAGAGCGCAAGTCAAGGTATGCGTGTGGGTTTACGAGGGTGTCGCATGTCCGTTCCAGCACGAGGGAGTGACTAACTGAGTGTTCGAAATGAGGTCGGCTGGTTTAGGGGCGGAGTCGGGGGTGCATGATCGCTAGGGGACAAACGAGAAACGAGCCAGGCCACGCGACCCCCGTACGACGGCGAAAGGTCATGGGCGCAGCCCCGAATCAATGCAGTTGGGTGGGAGGCGCCTCATTTCAGGCCTGAGGGGTGGCCCGATGTCAACAGTGTTTCATGTACAGTAGGTGAGCTAACTCATAAAATGTCCATCTAAATTCCGAAATGCGTTTTCGTTTTGAAAAGATTAATTAAGCAGGGCTGTAAAAATAATCATCATGCAGCATAATTCTATAATAGTTCAGTTACCTCAGGATGGCGGCTTTCGAATGAATTTCCTTCCGGCTGCGTGCAAAAAGCCTACACTTTGAAAGAAATGGCTACTTAAGTAGCATGCACCTTTATCATTGATTTTCGATGCCCATAAATGTTCAATTATATTTAATGGAAAACATTCATTAAAATATTAATTCTTTTCCTCCTTTGATACAAAATTACGTCTTCTTCCAATGTTATACTCGAAGGAAGCGTATAATTCGGTTTTAAAAACTTTTTAGCTCGCGAATAATTTTCAATCCGGTCTACCGTCACACTTGAAATCGGGGATTC